GGGGTCCTGGGTGTTTGGGAGGGACACACGGGTGTCCTGGGGGGTCCCAGGTGTACCCCAGATGTGTCCCCCCCCAGGCAGGCCCGGGCCCGGGTGGTGACAGGGGCGGAACTGGCGGCGATGGCCCCGGGGACCCTCGAGGGGCTTCTCCGCGCCCACCCCGAGATGGTTTTTGCGAGAACGTCCCCACAACAGAAACTCGTCATCGTGGAGAGCTGCCAGCGCCTGGTGGGGACACCGGGGGGACACTGGGGGGACACTGGGGACATGGGGGGACATTGGGGACATTGTGGGGACATCAGGGACGTCACGGGGACACCCCCAAGGTGCCACCGTGGTCGGGATGATGTTGGGGGTCCCCAAACTCCCCCCTCCAGCCCCCACATCCCCGAGGTGGCACCACCACAGGAGCGTCCCTGAGGTGCCACAGCCACGTCCCCACTGTCCCCGTGTCCCCATATTGGTGCCAACATCCCCACTGTCCCTGTGTCCCCATGACAATGCCAACGTCCCCGTGTCCCCATATCGGTGCCAACATCCCCACTGTCCCCGTGTCCCCAGGGCGCCATCGTGGCAGTGACAGGGGACGGGGTGAACGACTCCCCGGCGCTGAAGAAGGCCGACATCGGGGTGGCCATGGGCATCGCCGGCTCCGACGCCGCCAAGAACGCGGCCGACATGATCCTGCTGGACGACAACTTCGCCTCCATCGTCACCGGCGTCGAGCAGGGTGGGCAGGGGGTGATGGGCGCTTGGGGGGGCACCTGAAACACCTGAGAACCCCCTAAAACACCTGGGGGGCTCCTGGAGGGTTGTCCCACCCCAGTGACACCCGTCCCACCCGTCTCACCCCTCTCACCTGTCCCACCTGCCCGCGTCCCCCCAGGGCGGCTGATCTTCGACAACCTGAAGAAGTCGATCGCCTACACCCTGACCAAGAACATCCCCGAGCTGACCCCGTACCTGATCTACATCACGGCCAGCGTGCCCCTGCCCCTGGGCTGCATCACCATCCTCTTCATCGAGCTCTGCACCGACATCGTGAGTGCTGCGCCCGCCTGTGTCACCTGTGCTCCTCTGGGGCCTCCCCTGGGCTCCCCTGGGCTCACCTGGGCTCACCTGGGCTCCCCTGGGCTCACCTGGGCTCACCTGCCCCCCGTGCCCTCCCTGCCCACAGTTCCCCTCGGTGTCCCTGGCCTACGAACGCGCCGAGAGCGACATCATGCACCTGAAGCCGCGGAACCCGCGGCGGGACCGGCTGGTCAACGAGCCCCTGGCGGCCTATTCGTACTTCCAGATCGGTAAGGGGGGCCCGGGGACCCCCCACACCTGGGGGGCCACACCTGGGACCTCCCGGGCCCCTGGACAGTCGTGTCCCCAAACACCGGGACCCTCAGGGGCTCCAGGAACCGGCTCACCCGGGTCTCCTCATCCTCCAGGCCTTGGGGACACCTGAGTCCCTGGTCCCGGGGCACCTGGATCCCTGGGTGTCCCAAC